GCCATGACGTAGGCGGCTCACCGGCCTCGGTGGCAGCGTTGGGGGAGCGGTAAGCCTACACGCTCTGCCGCCATAGTCATCACCGCCGGGAAGTCCTGCTGCGCAGACCAGTGCTGCTGGCCTTCCTGGCGGTCGCCGGAAGTATCAGACAACGAGGTGTCGTCGTCCCTCTCCCCGACGAGCGGGCCCGTCCGGTCCGCTGGCATGGCGAACACCAAGGTAGGCCAGGCTCAATTTATGCTGCGTTTCCATTACAGTTTAGTAGCTGGGGCAGTAACTATAGTAACGCAGTGTAGGCGGAGCCGTGACGTCATCTTCAATGAGAACCACAAAACCAACATCAGCCGTTAGCTGTTAGCCCTCAGAGCTCAAAGCTCCTCATATCTGTTCAGAAACTAGACAAAAGTTAAACAAGTACAAGCCACAGACTGTCTGTGTCGTGGAGAATACAGTCGCTGGTTTATTTATGTCTGTAGGCCGTTGTTGTGAGTGTGGACGGTCGGAGCATATACTGCGTTAGCTTAGCCGATCTCCATTCAGAAAACACACATTTTAAAAGGTTTTTCGCCTGCCGTCTGTCTGCAGACTTGTCAAAGCATTAATTCATGGTTTTTACTAACCGGTATCAGTATGTTGTTACTTCGGCATCATTTAGAAACGTGTATTACAATTAAATCATGGTCAAATATGTTCATTGTGTTGTAGTTGCCAGTCATTCTCTCACTAGTTTAGCATACTCAGCCCGGTTGTTGGCCCGGAAAGAACCTGGATTTTGGAGTGCCAGAACAACTGTGAAAAAGTACCCGCTAGCCGAAACTACGCCTAGTGGAAACACAACCAAAAACGGGCCGGGTTTGGAACGGCACGCTTAAACCGTGCTACGCGCTGCAGTGGAAATGCGCCATTAGTGTAAAACCTAAAGAACATTTCTCTTAAAGAACATTTCATTTGATCCAGTTTTAGAAAAGACATAACATCCCTGAGCCACTGAGCATTGGAAGGAGTCTTGTCAATAGCGAAGTAAAAGCCAGAATATCTAATTGCCTCAAGTTATATATAATGTAATCTTCTCAGCACCCAAATATGGCAATATGGGGAAGTATTTTTGAGATATTATTATATTGAGAACACTAATGGGCAGGAAAAGAACATATGGGATAGGTTGCAGGGAGAGGCTTGTCACTTGTCACAGCTTTCAATGACAGTGGGATATATTTGGGTCGTATATATCAGTGTTAACTCACAGCAACAGGTGTGTAATGAGAGGTGTGTTGGGTTGCAGCTAAAGAGAGCTTCGGAGGGATGCGGCTGCTGAGGAGAGCTGATTTTAACGCCGGAGCGAACATCAACACGTTCTGGAGGATGCCGTGCAGAGGAGCTCTGGAGGCCGGCAGCAAGAAGGCTCTGAACTGGGACAACAAGCACATCACATGGTTCGGTGAGTGGACTTCTCCCAGATTAAGATTTCAACATTTCAAAGGTTTAATGTCATACACACAACTACAATCTAGTTGTGTGTATGATAAGTCTTATGGCCTGTGGGATAAGTCCCTGAGTCTGATTAGGCTGGATAAGTCTATGATTTAAACCAGAAGTGTCAAACTCCATTTCATCGCGGGCCAGCATATGGTTGCACTCAAAGGGCCAGTTGTAACTTTAAGACTATACGTATATATTATATACATTATTGCCTCTGCATTGGATTATTATCGGATAGGGTAATAACTTTATAATTAACTACGTCTGAAAGCAGAAGTCCAGGGCAAATAAGTGCAAGTCTTTTCAGTGGGCATGTCACAGAATGAGATGCATTGTGGGACATGTAGTTTATGGACAACGTGCTTCTGTAAAGCGGCATGAAACCATGTAATAAAAGTATTTTATTCTTTGCAAGCTCTTGCTGGGCCGCATGAAGTGAAGACCTTGAGTTTGACACCCCTGATTTAAACTCTTTAGATGATGCTTTTGAATCCTTTAATACCCAATTGTTTCTTATGGACTAAACCTTTTAATTAAATGTCTCCCCACAGCCACTCTGGACGGAGGAGTGGGCATGCTGCTCCCGATGCAGGAGAAGACGTACCGCAGACTGCTGATGTTGCAGAACGCTCTGAACAGCATGCTGCCTCATCACGCTGGACTCAACCCCAAGGCCTTCAGGTTCTCATCACTTTCACAGAGTCACTGCGCAAACATAACATCAGAGAGACCGTTACTGGCATCCTTTATTAACCCTAACCCTATCTTAAGTACCTCCCAAGTAGAGTGTGGTTGAAACTCCACACTTAATCACCTTCTGGTAAGAAATGAACAAATCTACAAGTTTAAACCAAAGTTGTATTATTTAATAAAAAGGTAAAGCATTTAACAGAATCAATATATTTCCATCTTGAAGGACAGATTACCTGCAGAACTGATCTATGGTTCAAGGATCTGACCCCGTTACAGCAGAAAAACAAGCACTCTATGCAGGAAAAAGACAAAAGGGGAAGGTCTCAGCTAGAATTTACAAAACAGTCTTCAGAAATGTTGGCCAGACGGGCAAAACTTGCATACATGCTAATTACAAACCTAAAGCTTCTTACACACCAAACTGCCACCAAAGAACACGTCCCGATGGAACGTCGCCTCACGTCTCTGCGTCTTGGCCATGTGTCGCACTGGAACACACCGCAAAGACTTCAGTCGACGGCCAAGTAGCACGTACGAATTGCGCATGCGTGAGTGGCAATAACTCTCCTTACCAGCAGGTGGCGGTAGTGTGTATTCGTCATTCAAAAGAGGCAACAACCGGAAGACAGACTACGTGATAACGGAGAGAAGAAGAACAGACTGCGTGATTTAAACAAACAACAAATAGCGTGTTCCATTTTCCCTCTACAGCGAGAAGCTCATGAGGCTTTCCCGAAACTGTGTCGAGAGCTGGAGTCAAATGAAATCTCAGATTTGCCTTCTTAATAGTTTGTTTGGGTCCCTCACTTCCGTTTCGCTTCTCATGCACTGATTCGCTAGCTTAACAGCCAATCAGAGTGATTTCTTTGGCCGACGGCCTCCCAATTCAACATGTCGAATCGGCGGCGGAAGGCCGAAAAGACACGACGGTGCAGTACACACCAATCTGAGTAGGGCGACACTACGCTCATGGACGGCCCGACATCGATCAACGCCGAAAATCGGCTCGGTGTGAAAGGACCTTAAGATCCACATGATAATTGCCTGACAATGGTCAACCCTTCTGTCTTGATAACATTTATGGCGCATTTCCACTACAGGGCCTCGCTCGGCTTCGCTCGGTATGGCTAGGCCTCGTTAGGCCTTGTTAGGACTGGCTCTCTTTATGCTGCGTTTCCATTAGTTTAGTAGCTGGGGCAGTAACTATAGTAACGCAGTATAGGCGGAGCCGTGACGTCATCTTCAGTGAGAACCACAAAACCAACATCAGCCGTTAGCTGTTAGCCCTCAGAGCTCACAGCTCCTAGTATCTGTTCAGAAACTAGACAACAGTTAAACAAGTACAAACCACAGACTGTCTGTGTAATGGAGAATAAAGTCGCTGGTTTATTTATGTCTGTAGGCCGTTGTTGTGAGTGTGGACGGTCGGAGCATATACTGCGTTAGCTTAGCCGATCTCCATTCAGAAAACACTCATTTTAAAAGGTTTTCGCCTGCCGTCTGTCTGCAGACTTGTCAAAGCATTAATTCATGGTTTTTACGAACCGGTATCAGTATTTTGTTACTTCGGCATCATTTTGAAACGTGTATTACAATTAAATCACGGTCAAATATGTTCATCTTGTTGTAGTTGTAGCCCCCTTGCCAGCGATTCTCTCTCTA